GTACGTTCACCGTGAGAAGCGGTAAAACTCCTGCAACGTTTGGAAACGAATGAAGGCAACGCTAAGGCGAGAGCCACACTTTGAAATGGAACTGACCTGAATCCGTGACACTCTTCCAAAATTCTTCTGAACAGAATGCGCGCGGCGCGCAAGCGAGAGCCATATTTCGAAAAGCGCCCGCCCTCAGTCCGTCAAACTGTTTCAATGTTTTAAAAATAATGTGCACGGCGCTAGAGCGAGAGCCACAGTTTGGAAGCGACGCGCCCTCCATCTATGAAACCGTTGTCAACTCTGAAGCTTCAGGATCATAAATGGTAGGGAAGTCTGAGGCGCAATGCCGGGCCCGCCCTTCCGACTGGCCCCGGGGTGCGTCGGGGAAAAAGTATAAGGAACTCGGGGAGGGGACCCTAGGAGACCACATTGCACTGGTCAAAACGAAAAGCCAACACGCAAGAAAGTTGATAAAACGCATGCACTCCCTCCAAATCCTCACCCTCCCTCATGTTCCGTCCCCTCGACTGGGTAACGGCCGGCGTGCTCACTACCGGACGGCGCCTGCAGGAGCCCTGGTCGGCGTCAGAGCGGCTGTGGGATGAGAAAGAAGAGGAGGGGGAGGAGGAGTGAGCGAGCGAGACCAATCGCGATGCCATACAGGGGGGGCGGAAGGAGAAGGAGGAGAAGGATGAAGAAGGACAAGAGGAGAAGGGAGGAGGAGGATGAAGAGGAGAAGAAGGGAGGAGGAGGAGGAGGAGGAGGAGGAGGAGGAGAAGAAGGAGAGGATGAAGAGGAAAGAGGAAGAGGAGGGGGAGGAGGGATGAGGATAAGAAGGAAGTGTGAGGACGAGGAGAGGGGAGGGGGAGGCCAATGCAAAGGAGAAGGGGCTGCCGTGTCAGGGCCGGGACAGTGTGACATGGTTCGCTCGGCTATGCGCAAGAGTGGCCCTCGGTGCGCGGCTTGCCGATCGGTGTATGCGATGCGGAAATAGCGTCCTGTGAACTTGGCTTTCTGCCCCGCGCCCCTCGAAAGCTGCACACCAAAGGAGACATGAGCAAAGGGTCCCGCCGAGTTCTGGAGAAGTCTAACCCCTCGTACCTGCCCCTGGTCCGCTCACCGCCTGTGCCTGTTCCTTCTGCGGAGGCGGGAGGGCGATGAGGAGGGAGGATGATGCAGTGAGGATGAGGATAAGGTAGGAGGACGAGGAGTCAGGAGGGAGGAGGGAGGAGGCAGGAAAGAGGGATGACGGGGAGGGAGGGGAGAGCAGGCGGAGAGGAAGAGGGGGGAGACGGAGGGCGACGAGGCGGGAGGAGGAACACTTGTCAGAAGACACTGGGTGGGGGGAAGGGGTACCCAAGGGGGAGCAGTCGAAGAGTCGACCCGCTGTGTTTTTTTTCAACTGTTTAAAGGAGGTAGGGAGGCATGATGGGGAGGCGGAGACCAACGCAGTGGAGACTGAGGAGGAGGGAGGAAAGGGAGGGATGATGATGATGATGAGGAGGAGGAGGAGGGATCGGAGAAATGAGGAGAAATGGGGAGAAGAAGGGGAATGGAGGGGGGAGAAGGGTGAAGAACGCAAGAGAGGGAATAAGGAGGAGGCATGGTGATGAGGAATCAGTGTTAGAAGGTCCTGTGTGGCCGTATGGATCGCACAAACGGCTCTGGAAGGTTCCCAGGGGCTCTCTGGCGCTCCTGGAGGTTATACGAAGGGAAGGTCGGAGTAAAGAGGGGGGAACAGGAGGAGGAACAGAAGGATGAGGAGGAGGAGGAGGAGGAGGAGGAGGAGGAACAGGAGGAGGAGAAGGAGGACGAGGCAAGGGGGGTCGATAGAGGGGGGAAGAACAGGTGTGGCATGATGACGGGGGGGATGGGAGGGGAGGGCCCCCTGGTCGTGCTGCGGAGGCCTCCAGTGGTCGTTGGGCTTCTGACAGATGCCCCCGGAGGCCCAAACAGGGTGAACGCGAAAGCGAAAACCTCAATCCTCGATCCTCGCTGTGGGAGCAGCGAGAATCGGCACCACCACCACCACCACAATCGCGCAAAGCCAGGGTGGGTCGATCTGGTGGTGCGGCCTTTTCCTATTGCGGCCTCCCGCTCGAGGCATCCCCAGCCTCCCGCTCGGGGTCGTGCCGTGGGCCTCTTCGCCGAAGGTGGGCTGCCGCTGGTGGTAGTGGTGGTGGTGGTGGTGGTGGTGGTGGTGGTGGTGGTGGTGGTGGTGGTGGTGGTGGTGGTGGTAGTGGTGGTGGTGGTGTCGCTCTCCCCATGCGAAGATCCCCGCCCTCCCAAAGGGCGGGGGGCGGCAGGGGGGGGAAGGAGAGGGGGGTAGGGGAGGCGGGGGGGGGAATTCGGCGCCGCGCTCGCGAAGCTGGGGAGGGGGACGTTCGGACGCGCCCTGGCGCCCCGCCCGCCGCCCCCCCAGGGCCCCTCCCTCGCTCCCCCCTCCCTCGTCGGACGAGGGAAGGGGGGGGAAGAGGGACCAGGGCACGGAGGGGGGAGGAGGGCCGAGGAGGGCCGAGGAGGGACGGGGGCCGAGGAGGTAGAGGGGACAGGTGAGGGAGAGACGAGGGGGGAGGGTGTGGATGGGGAGCGGGAGGGAGGAGGGTCGAGGAGGAAGGTCGGGGAGGAGGATCGTCAGGGGTGGGCGCCGATTAGCAGCAGGGCTCCCCCCCTGGATCCTACCGGTGGGCCCAGGCAACCATCGCCTCAGCAAGCGGCTGGGCGTCCGAGGAGGTGTACATCGTGCCGCACCAGCCCACGTCCGACGAGCCAGGCAAGTTGTCGATGCCTCACGTCTCGGCTACGCGGAGGGAGCGACCCTGGCCAAGAGGGACCTTTTGGCGAAGCGCGCTCGCTGGCCACGGGGGCGGAGCCACATCCGGGGGCGCACGGGCAGTGCTCGGGGGACCCCAGTGCGCCCGCACCACAGGTCCCTCTGGCGAAGGGTCGCTCTTGCGTGTAGCCGACAGCCGAGGAGGAGGAGGTCTTTGGAGGAGGACGGGTCCCAACCTCCGAACGCTAGACTTCTGCGAATCCCAGGGGCGTTTACCCGGCTTCGGCCTCCCGGGGTCCCCGTTCGAGGCCCGGACCGTCCACTGCGAGTCCGAGACACTATACGAAACACGGTGAAGTGGTCGAGAAATCGGGGGCCCGGCGGTCGAAACATCACATCGGCGGAGGCGTGAAGAGACCAGGGCCACGAGGATCGAATCTATATGTTGTTCGATCGATTGGGAATGTGGCTCCGTAGACGTCTCGCCAAGAGGAAAACGGCCCTGGTCCTGAAGTTGTGTCTCAGATTTCGACCTCCCAATCCGAATCGAGACCTCCCAGAACTTCCTGACGACCCGCGAACCGAAAACAATTGATCAAGATGAGCGCCGACCCTTTGGAACGCCTCAGCGTTTCCCTCAAATCCAGTTTTCCCGTACCAGAGCTTCGGGGTTTTAAAGACGATGAGGGGGGACTGGGACTTCTACAGCCCCGGGAAGAGTTTTCTCCGAACCGCCGAAATGAACGCGCATGTCGACATGCGCTAGGCACCGAACGTGCGAAGCTGCTGCATGTAAAACAGACTGCCGCCGAGCGCCCCTTCAAAGTCAAGAACTCTACGTGTGTGGATCCACTGCGTGATTCGGAATGTGGCAACACACAATGGGATCGAAGTGTCCACGGCCAAATGGCAAGTGAGCGCCGCATTATGTGATACTGCATGCGACAGAGAGACAATAGACTTGGAATGCGAATATCAAACGACTGTGCAAGGGCTGCATTCGGTGACGTGGTCATCCACTCTCTCTCTCTCTCTCTTTCTCTCTTCCCCCCTCTCTTCCCAACATAACTCCTCTTCACCCTCATCCTCACCCTCCACCGCAAGGGGCCAGTGGCGCTGGGACCCGCCTGAGATATGATATGACCGAAACTGGGCAGGCGAACGCCAGGGGACATTGCGAGGAGGCCATGGGCGAAAGCTGCCCGAAAATCCACAGCCAAGCAAGGCCCTCAAACTGGGCAAAACCGCGAAGACGTCCTAACAGCACCCAATGCCAAACCACGCCAAAGCATGCTCCATAGACCAAGCCAGACCCCAAACCAGGGAGCTTGCAGCTTGCGTCACCTTCCAATGGCAACTGCCCCAATGATATGATGAGCCCAAAACCAAGCAAAGCGTGAGGACCCTCCTAAACAAAACCCTCCCAAACCAACCCAAACCAGGTACCGCAACAAGCACATCGCGCGAACCTTCCAATCGAAACCAAAGGCACAAACCATGCCAAACCATGGACCCAGCTAGGCAGACAGGCACCGCCGACCAATGCCAAACCAGGCCAAGCCAGGGGCAAAACCAGATAACGTTTCGGGGATAGCGCCAATTGGGCTGATGACTTGTGTCGTGACTTCCCCAAGCGCGGGACATGCGCGCAAACCTGTTCGGGACGGGTTGGGCCTGACAAGATTGTTGTTGTTTTCTTGTGACGTTCGCCAGATTCGTCCCATCAGTCCGGAATGTGTCCTAGAATGCTCGCGTGGGGGGGATTCGAAGGCTACGCGAGGAAATTATGAACCCCATGGGAAGCAACATCATAACTCACCCTACACCTCACTGCGCGCAGACACACTTGCAAATTTCCAGGCGATGCTGGTGCTTCGCGCGCTGGCCATGTAAAAAAGGAGAGCCAGTAACGCCACGTGACTGGACAATATCCGGCCCGCTTGCGAGCAGCACGGGGGCGCCTCAGCGCCTCGCCTGAAGGCGACAACTGTGTCGAGCCACCGCTTGCGCGGGCCCGCTTGCCGAAGTCGGTGGTTTGGTTCGGACGGTGACCACCGCAAAACCCAGTATGCCCATGAGTTCTTCGAGCTTTGTAGTCTCTGCAACCATCTGCGCGCCGAAGAACGATGTGCTGTGGCCCAATATGATAAATTAGGACGTTCTAGGTGTTGTTCCGCGCTGCGAGTTGCGCTCTGCACCCACTCCACACAAGGCTCTGACACACTCGACGCCCCATCTGTGGATCCATTGCTAGATGCACTACTTGTTGTTGTGTTGGTGCCTGATGAACTAGAAGAGTCGGCTGCCGTTGTCGTGCGCCTTGGCATCTGGATCATCATACACACCGTTTGTCTTTGAGCTCGTCGTGCGTTATCCCCAACGGTTGAGTTCAGATACATGTATCGCACCCATACAGCATCGTTGAAGAGACTGTGCTGCCGAAGAACAGGAGACGAGAATTGATGGAGTAGTGGTTGCTAGTGAGGTCTGCTCGGTGGGCGCTGCATCTCTTCCATGCCATCGGTATCCTGCGGTCGATATCGGTCTCGCGTGCGCTGTCGACAGATAGCTGGCGGCCCAAGTATTTCTGGGCACCCAAGGACGTGATGATCTCGATGTTCACGTCCTCGACCCTCTAGTGCCTTGTTTTCGGCCCGTGCGTGCTGTAGCGCTGCTCAGGATCTTCGTCTGGTCTGGGTGAGGTTCCAATCCTCTTTCGCTGACTGCAACGCGAATGTCTTGCAACATCAACCTGGTTTGGCGCAGCGACGCCCTAATCACGAGTACATCGTCAGCGAAGCGGAGATGTGTGATCAGCCGCCCACAACCTAAGTTCATGCAACAATCTTTGCGCGCCCATTCTGGTTTGACATCGCGCAACACATCTTCCAGGAGCGCGTTAAATAACAACGAACTGAGGTCCGCGGTAATTGGCGAAATGTTTACCCGGTCCGCGCGTACGCGAGCAATATTGCCAGAATTAAAAAAACAAGCTGCAGGAAGCGAACAGACCCATCCAGTATCTTGTCGCTGTAGCGCTTGCCATGAGCTGTCTTGCTCGATTGTGCCAGGGGCCTTGCGAAAGTCCAGCGATGGTATTCAGAATGGCGGTCGGAAATCAGAACACTTTTCTAGTAATAGTGCGACTGTAGATAAATGGTGTGCCGTGCTGAAGTCACATCGGAATCAAGCTTGGTCGTCGATGTGTTGCGCATCCAAGATTGGGTACAGCCGTGCATTTCGCATCTTTGCGCAAAGAGCTTGTATACTAGAGGGATGTTGCCATGTATGGTCGTTTTCATCATCGGCTGTGTCTCTGGAGCTGTGTATGACCGTGATGGCAGATGTCTTCCAGGCCTCGGGAGGCACAACTCCTGGGGCAATGATCTGACTGTACAGGTCCGACAACACATGTCCCATATACGGGCCTCCGCACTTGACCATCTGAGCAATAACTCCAGCATAATATTTAGCGCAGCCACGCTTGCGCTTGTTGTTTTGGGTCAACACGAAAGGTTTTAGTGATCAGGCCCGAACCAACATGTCCTTGGACCTTGCGAGAGCAAGTTTTTGAACACGAGCCAATGGTCGTGGCGCTGGCGATCGCTGATCGCGAGAGGGCCTTGGTCGGGTTGCCAAGCGGCAACTTTGCACCAAGGAGACGGGGGGAGGCGGGAGGCTAGAACGGCCGCTGCAAGGGGATTGCGGGCGGGCGAGGAGCTCAGGACATGCACTTTGTCACGTCAGTGCGGCGGCCCGGGCTCCGGTGGGAGTCGTGCCAAATGGCAATCTGACATATTCTCTAGGATACCAAGCACCCCGAGGGTGCAAAATGCATGGAGCGAGCCTGGGCTGGCTGCGGGCGTGGACCGGGAAGGGAATTGCAGCTGGCTGCAAGACGACGATGTCCAGGAAAGTGCCACGCCCAATGAGTCAGTCCCCGGAGCATCCGAGCTCAAGCGGAACGGTTGCAAGGCGGAGCATAGCGGGGCTCACGCGCCCAACCAACAAAACCCAAACATGCCTGTGCGAATGATCACAGCCGAACATCCAACAACCATTGCGTCGCTGCAAATGTGAATGCCAGGGAAGCCGCGCACCACACATGCATCTGTCACCTTTGTTAGCTGAAGAGCGTCACGACTGCCCAGCAACTGCCAAGGCAGTGATAGAGGGCCTTCTCCTGGGCTCGTGGCGCATCAGGATATCTTACGAGATGAACTTGGACCGACTCCTGCCTAGGAGGGCTTGGGTGGAATGACTCGAAGGCCACGATCCTTCCCGAACTCCGAGGATATCGCCAATGACGTCGCTGAACTTCGGTTCCTGCTTTGGATATGCACGCATTGATGGTTAAGAAGCTCGTCCCTCCCAAAGACAATCGCGCACTGCCTGCACAGCGGCGTCCTGAGATTCAGGACAACAGCCTGCACGGCGGCCAAATGGCCAAACGATCTGGCAAGATGGTCGCCCGTTCCAGCGAAGGCCCGAGGCTGTCAAGATAGACGCTGCTCTCCTACGGGATGCGATGCGCTCTGAATATCTCCAAGCTGTCTGGTTTCACTGCGGGAAGCTGGTCCGTCCAAGAGACGCTTTCAACGGACTGCACTCTACCAGCTGAAGTTTCCCAGAGACCGCGGCGACGTGTGCACCAATTGCATGTCCTCCATGTCAGGCGACTTCGTGCGATCGACGGACCTCAGCATGCCGGGCCGCACCAGGACAGGACGACTTCGAGCGGCGCACTCTCCTCGTCCCACTCTGCCGGGAAGACTCCGAGAATACCACCAGCTCTTCGCGAGACTCTGCATGTTGGAGACCGCCGCGCCGCACGCAGGTCTACGCTGCCTGGCAACGAACACAGGAAATACATCTTGGCCGCCACCTCGGAAGGTGTCGGTTCCGTCGCGAAGGTGCCGCACTTGAAGCATGAATTGCAGGAATCGCACGGGCCCCTGCCGCTCCCTGCCAGGCGTCAGAGGTATCGACATGAGTGCCGAATAGGGCGTCGGCGTGATCTATACATGCTGGCTAGCCTGGAGAGCACGGCCGTGGGGAGCAATGCAACCTCGCCCCAGACTCGCAACACCGAGGCGGAGACCCTTGGATGCCCAAACTCCGAAGCGCGTCGCCCCACAGGGACGAAGCCTCCTGTCAGGCTCCTGGGGGAGCACACGTGCCTGCAGAGGGCGTGTTCTCTCTCGGGCGGCCAACGCGCAGACGCGCCCGCGCGGCCGCTCACGGAGGAGGAGGACGAGGAGGAGCTGGAGGAGGAGCTGGAGGAGGAGAGGGAGGAGGAGGAGGAGCAGGGGGAGGAGGAGGATGTTTCATCATCGATCCCGCTGAGGCCCAACCAATTGGTGACAGGCTATCACGTGCCTGAAGAGGAGGAGGGGGAGGAGGACCAGCGCAAACCCAAGACTCAACAACGATTTTGGGATATATCCTCCCTCCAAGCTCCCTCTTCATAGGTCCCATACAATCACTTCCACTGAGAGACGTGCCCCGTTGGGACACAACCGTGTGAACATCCCAAAGTGTACCAAAACACCATTATCAGGACTTCAACGTCACGAACTGATCTGACTGTTGCGCATTGGTGGTCCTGAATCGCATCATAACGCCATCCCTGGGATTCCAACACCGTGAATTAACGTAACGGCTGCGCCCTGACAATCCCGAACCGCTCGAAAACACAACATCTGGATAGTTAGCCCTGAACACCCGCAAACATCTTACACCTGTGTAGGACGAGTGTGCGCGGCGCGAAAGGGATAAACACAGCTTGAAACGAAACCACTCTCACTCCATGAAGCTCTTGCAAACTTTTAAAACGAGCATGCGCGGCGCTGAAACCAGACCCACATGTTGACAACTGCCCGCCCTTAACCCGTGAAGCCCTTGAGGTAGTAAAGCGAATGTACGCGGCGTTAGGGCGAAAACCGCATATTGAAAACGACCTGCAATCAATTCGTGAAGCCCACGCAATTGTTTACAACGAGTGTGCGCGGCGCTGAAGCGAAAACCACATTCTGAAAACGACCCGCCCTCAACCCGTGAAACTGTTGCAAATGTTTGAAACGAATGTGCGCGCCACGAATGCGAGAACAAACTCTTGAAAACGGTCCACCCTTAATCCGTTAGACCCTTGCACGTGGTTAAAACGAATGTGTATTGCGCTGAGGCGAAGACCAACATTTGGAAGCGGCCAACCCTCCATTTGTGAAACGGTTGCCAATTTCTCAGGCGAAACGCCCAGCAGCCCTTGCGCTCAGCCTCGGGGCGCGACAAGGAGTTGCTCATAAAGAAAAGGAATGGAGGACGGACAGGAGGAGGGGGAAAGACCAGGAGAAGGGGAACCGGGACGAGCGGGGCGAGGTGGTGGACCAGGAAGGAGGACCCGAGGATGATGGAGATGAGGAGGACGACGACGACGGAGGAGTGGAGGGAGGGGAGACAGTGCGAGGATTATGGGGAGCGGCGGGCGGGAAGAAGACGCAGGAGTGGCGAGGATCGGAGGAGGAGCGGGGGGGAGACTACACAGCAGGAGCAGGGCGATAGGGTAGAAGACAGGGTAGGAGGAGGAGGAGGAGGAGGAGGAGGAAGAGGCCTCCACCAGGGCAGAAAGTGTGGATGTGCAGCCAGCCCACGCTGACCGAGTGAGCCGCGTGGATGCACTGCGAGACCGCGCCCTGCGCCACCTTGGTCTGGTACGTCTCGAACGACGACTTCAGCATAGAGGCCTGCACCCCCTTCCCCTCCCCTCTCCCTCTCCATCCTTCTCGAGTGCGTCGAATCGACGAGAGGCCAGACAGAGGGGGCAACTCATCATGGCCCGAAACATGTGCACCGACGAGGGGGGGCCCGTGGGAGGCCATGAAACCTGGGAGATCTCACGGCCCAAACAATGACAACAACCTCCGCCCGCACTAGTCCAAACGCCCCCCTTGGACGCCCCCGACCGCTCTTCCCTCGCCTTCCTCAGAGGCCACTCAATTGAGGTTGGAGAGATGGCGCCGGAGAATCACACTGAGTCGACGATGCTCCAGCAATGTCGGGATACAGTGGGGGCATTGGATAGGGAACCCTTTGATCAGGAATCCAGGTTCTGGGAGCCAGTGGAAAGCCAATCGTGGATTGGCCATGGATATCACCGCCACCCTCAGTGGATAAGGAATCCTCTAGGGTCTGAAGCCTCCTGGTACCATCCCTTAACATGCGCCCCCACCGTGGAGAAAATCGGACTCCAGATGGCATTGCATCGCCGATGCATCCGCGATGCGGCGCGATCCTCCGACCCCACCTCGGAGAGCAGGGCGAGCCGAGACGGCGGCAACTCATAATCAACCGATCCACCGATGCCTGCTGGGGGATCCAAGGCCCAGAACTTCCCGAGCTGCGCCTGGCCGTGGTGACGAGGGCACCCCCTTCCGAAACCCAGGTACCTGCCCTTCTCCTCCTCCTCCTCCTGCTCCTTCTCGTCCTCCTCCTCCTCCTCCCCCTCCTCCTCCTCCTCCTCCTCCTCCCCCTCCTCCTTCTCCTCCTCCTCCTCCTCCTCCTCCTCTTCCTCCTCCTCATCCTCCTCCTCCCCCTCCTCTGACTACCTCCTCCCCCTCCTCCCCCTCCTCTGACTACCTCCTCCTCTGCCTACCTCCTCCGACCGCACACGGGCGGACCGGGCCTCCCCTCCTCCTGCGGACACGCTCCCGTATCACTGCTCTGCTGCCGTCGCTGCCGCTTCGGGGCCCCCTCTCCTGCAGCGGCCGCAGCCCGGCGTCGAACGCCTCCTTGAGAATTACAGTCGGACTTCATTGGACAGGACACGCGAGAGGACAACAGACCCTTCCGAGGGCCACATTGCCATAGGAGTGCAGGAGGCATGGGTCGCGAGACACGGGACACAAAGGTACCCTTGATGTGGCGGGGTCGACCTACAAATCCGGGCCGACTGTATGGTGTTCCCATCGTACTTGAGGACCACATCCCAGAAATGATCTCGGGCACCCAGAAAAGTATCGAAACGGCGTCGAAGGAGTATCGCCTCCCAAGGCCCGACATGTGAAAACCCTCCAGTTTCGGTACTTCCTTGGTGCTCGAAATTCTTTCTGGCGATCAAGGTTACAAGTAGCTTGGAAAATCATAACTTGAGAAGTGGATCGATGAGCATGCCATCTGGCGGCCAGGCTGCACATCAGTCGCTACAGCGCCACCAGATCACAAGTGTGCGCCGTAAGGATGCGAGGCCTCTGGGTGTCCAAATTGAGGACGACGTTGGAAGCGGCATTGGCAGCCCAGGGCCCATGGCTAGCGGCGGGGATGGGCCGCGAAGCGAGGGTGCAGCGGGCACCCCTGCAAAACCACTCATCCTTATGATCCCGTTCGGCTGCAGCGCGGCGAAATACGACTTGGGCGCTTGTGTCTGACACCACCTGGACCGTTCAGCCTTGAGGGATCGCAGCTTTACGATACAGTGCACGTCGTTCGATGCTAGCTGACTGTGGGCCACTGGCGGAATGCAACCTCGAACGCCTGCGGTGGGGTCGCCGCCGCCGCGCCGACGCAACGCGAAACTACCGTACGTGCCATTGCTCCTCTCCTAGATGCCTCCCTTCCCCCCCCTCCCCTCCAGCAAGGAGACCATACCCTGACTGCACTTAGCCTTCAGAGACTGGATGTTTCTGTAGAACGACTTTGGGATCGTCAGCAGCGCGACGGCCGGGCCCAAGCAGCCCTTGGCCTCGTGGTGGTTGTTGAAGGTGACGCTGTGATCGCCGCTTCCGAGGAGGGAGTCACCTCAGGGAAACCAAAAGCCACGAGAGGTCCTCCTCCTCCTCCTCCTCCTCCTCCTCCTCCTCTTCCTCTCCCTTCTCCAGCTGTTCTTTCTCTCCCAATCCACCGTCCTCTCCCTCCTAACCCCATCCCTTCTCCCCCCTGCTCGCTTCATGATTGTTCCAGTTTCCTAAATTCTCCCTGCCGCACGCCCAGGCGTGTCGGCAAAGCGGCCCAGACGTTTCGCCTGAGATTGCTTCACCACCTATGATGCTGAACCGTGAATTTCGCAATTGCGCAATTCCTGCACGGGTGGAGGTGACTTTCGGAATGGAACTTTCGCCTGAGCACCGCGCGCAGGAGTCCTACTTGTTCGTAACAGATACAAGGATGTAGAGCTGGTGGCTTTCAGAGAGGGCTTTTCACCTGAGCGCCGCCCGGACGGGCCCGACCGAATGCAACACACAGAAAGTATAATGGCGGCTCCTGTTCACAGCAGGGTCTCGCTTGTATGCACCGCGCACATCCCCCTGACCAGGTTGCAGCACCACTTCAAAGTGAAGCTCGCGCCTTGGCGCCGAGCTTCCTCGTCAAAACACATGTAGCAGTTACAAAGATGAGCGGCGAGTCCCCGATGCAAGACAAAAATAGCGCCTGTAGCGCCGCAGAAGTCCGTCTTAATTAAAGACTTGAAGCAACTACGAGGATGGAGGGAGGCTGCTATATCGCTCTCGCTACAAGAGTTCTCTACACGTGGAACAAGTGCACATATGGAGGGCATTCCCTTTTCAAACTGACGCTCTCACTTTAGAGATCGAATGTGGCAACCAAGATCCCAAGGTTGCGCACTAGTTGCGCCGATGGGGGCGCTTCCATTTCAAAGCGGGCCCTTGGCTGGACGCACCGTGTCGGATCCTAGCGTTTCGTGTTCCGTGCTTTCCGCCATAACGCAATCCCTTTTTTAAAACAAGGACTTCCCCCTGAACGGCAGTCACATAGGGCGTCCATATCACAAAGGGGCGCTTCCCGGGAAAGAACGGAAGGCTTGTAGGAACTTTGGAACAAAAAGGATTTGGTGCGGGAGGTTAACTGTCGTGTTGATGTGTCTTGGGTTTGCCATGGTCCTCCCCCTCCTCCCCCTTCTCCCCCTCCCTCCCTCCTCCTCCCTTCTCCCTCCTCCTCCCTCCTCTCTCCTCCTCATCATTCGCCTCCTCCTCCTCCTCCTCCTCCTCCTAACTCCCTCCTCCTCTCTCCTTCTCCCTCGTCCCTCGTCCCTCCTCCCTCCCTGCTCCCTGCTCCTCCGCCCGCTGCTCCTCCGACCCACCGCAGAGGAGCAGGGGGGGAGGGGGGGGGACGGCTGCGCACGACACGCGCGGCGAGCTCGCGCGGCGGATGTCCGCGCGGCCCGCTCCGTCCTCCCACGCCTCTCTGAGGAGGAGGAGGAGGAGGAGCAGGAGGAGGAGGAGGAGAAGAAGGATGACGATGATGCTGATGATGATGAGGATGAGGAGGAGGGGGAGGAGGAGGACGGGGAGGAGAAGGAGGCGGAGGAGGAGGAGGAGGAGGAGAAGCGGGGGGGCAGAGGGAGAGGGGGGGGGAGGGGACGAGGGCTGAATGCGCCAAGTGCGGGGCGGCGAGGGAGTCCGCGAACGAGAACGGACCTCGGGGTGGAGTCCGGGAAGCAACTCCGAGGAGGTCTTCGAGAGACTGGCACATCATCCCGCAGTTGCGGATTTGAGTGAGGGGGCGGCGGGGTCGTCAGCAGACTGCGAGGCTCTGAAGCCCACCGCAGGCGCCGATGTTTTCATCAACTGATCCAACGGGCACGCCGCACGCGCCGAATCTTTCGTCAAAGCAAGAGGGTGGGTCGCGGGGTGGGTCGCGGGGTGGGTCGCGGGTGGGTCGCAGGTGTGTCGCGGGTGGGTCGCGGGTCGGGTCGCGGGCCAGGTCGCGGGAGGGACGAGGACAACACACACAACAAACTACAACAAACAAGACGCAACACACACATCAACAACAACACCAGCAACAACAATACTAACAATCACAACAACAACACCACCACCAACAACAAAAACAACAACAACACACATGCAACAACCACAAAACCACCATGAACAACAACACTAACAATAACAACACCAACAATAATACCACCAGCAACGACAACAACACCAACAACAACAGCAGCTGCAACATCAGCAACAGCAGCAACAACAACAGCAGCAGCAACACCACTAACCAATTTAAGACTGTTCGCTCTGGTCTGCTCGCGGCCCATTGAACACGCACAACAGCAACAGCAACAATCATGTTAATGTTAAGACTGTTCGCTCCTACCTGCTCACGTGCCAACCAATACGTATATCCCAAACCCTCGGTACCCGCCCTCGTCGTCCTCGATCGTACCCCCTTGGGGAGAGGAATTAGCAGGAGGGGGGCAGGGAGCAGAAAACAAGTGGTAGAACCAGACGGGCAGATCGGGCGGGCATACCCATAGCAAGCAGGTCGGGAATGCGGGCCCAGGCGACGAGGTCGAGCAGGCGGGTTGCTGAAGCGTGGGTCCTGCATGAATCGCGAGGACTTTTCGAGCGATAGCGCGATTCCTGAGGATGAGTGAGTAGGAGGAAGGGGGATCGGGAACAGAAGGTCAAACGAAGGCAAGATGAGAACGTATCCAAATAATGAGCCGGGCATCTCTGAAAGGTGGCGGGTCTGGCGCGGACGCGGACCAGACGCGGCGACCGTTCCAGAACACTCGGGGACGATCTATTCTCTTCCTAGGCCCTAGGCCAGCCTGGCAGACACAAGGCCCGAGGGATGTCTCTGACCCAGTTTGGGCTCCTGGGTGCCTTCGAAAACCTTTGGAAGGATGGATCGGGAAAGGGGTTGAGACGAGGGGGACTACACGCGAAAAAATATGTAGCAGCAGGAATGGGGAAAAAAAGGAAACTGACGAAAGGGTGAAGAGAAGGTTGGACGACAGGTGTGGACCAGGTATACGGTGTGTGTGTGCGTGTGTGTGTGTGTGTGTCTGTGTGTGTGTGGATGGGGGGGGGGGTTCTTGGTCTTCTCATAATCTCTGGAGGCGCGTCGAAGAGAAGGAGGAGGAGGAGGCACTGGAGGAGGAGGAGGAGGAGGAGGAGGATGAGGAAAAGGATGAGAGAGGACAAGGATGGAGGATACAGAAGGGGTGTGACCATAACCAGGGGTGCGATGCGATGCGATGCGATGCGGCCACCGCTGCGGACGCCGTTCGGGCCTAGCTAAGACCAGGTGGGCGAGGCCGTGGCATCAGGAATCTGGTGTGTCCGAACAACAGGAGGACGAGGAGGATGAACCGGCACCGAATCGAAATCGAATCGGAACGGCCGCGAAAGGATGCGCATCGGATTGTCACAGTCTCGGAATCGAAACGGGTCGGCTGGAGCTCGATACCGAATCGGATCGATGGGATCGAAGTGGACAGCGCCGGGTGGGCCCCTATGCCCCAGAGCGAGCCCCTCCCTCCGATGTGGCAGTTGCTTCGTGCTGTCGTTCTCGACCCCTTCACTGGTACATTGTTTCGTCCCGAGTCGCTGCTTGACGGCCCCAGGGCCAGGGAAGGGCCTCCGCGGTGCGCGAGAGCACCGAAAAACCAGTCGTCGCGATGTGCTCCTTGCGACGCCCCAGTCTGAGGGGGCCTCCCTGCCCCTGCCGAGAGCTTTGGCCGCCCGAGGGGTGGGTCACTGCCGCAGCCCTGGTCGCAGGCGCACTTCTCGCTGGCGCAGCCTGGGTTCCCAGCGAGCTGGCGCCGCGGTCGGGTGGGCCGCCCCAGGCGCCCAGAGGGGGGGGGCGGCATAGAGTGCAAAGGATTACTTGCCTCTTTCCGAGGACGCCAGATCCCCAAAAAGGCTGCTACATTCCAGGGGTAATCGCTTACTTCCGCCAGCTTCCACCAGCCTTCTCGGCTTCCGCCGAGGAAGAGATGGCGACCTCTCCATCCCTCCAAGGCGAGGTCTTCGATTGCCCCACTTGTCAGGGACTTGGGACGGGACGGTGTATTGCAGCATCGTTGATACATCTTGGGCCCACCCTGGTTTTCCTACTCATCCTCTTCCTGCTCCTTCTCCTCCTCCTCCTGCTCCTGCTCCTCGTCCTCCTCCTGAATTAGGGCCCCAAAACCCAAATTCACAAATCTCCCGGGGCTTGACGCGGTTGCCTTGGGCCTTGGCGCATCTTGTCGGTCGCGTGACTTGTTCGGGCCAAGAGGGATCCCAGAGGCCGCCAAGATGGTCCAAGAGGGCCCCGAGTCGCCGAACGATCGCCCCACGACGCCCAAGATGGCCCCCAGACGGCCCAAGAGGCCGCCAAGACGCCCAAAGAGGCCTCCAAGAGGCCTCCCAAGATGGCCCCAAGATGCCAAAAACATTGATTGCCCTTTGGTTGTTGAAGGAGTCTAGATAGAGGCCCCTAAGACCGCCCCAAGACGGTCCAAGAGGTCTCCAACAGGGCCCGAAAACAGCTCAAGAAGGCCCCAAGACATGCTTAGAGGCGCCCAAAACTGCCCAAGACGCCCCCAATGGGGTCCACAAGAGAGAACACACACCGAACAAAAACTAGTTTTCAGCCCCAAGAAACTGGGAGGCTCCAAGCATGAGGCCCCCAAACCGCCCCAAGAGGCCCCCAAGAGGCCCCAAGAGGCCCCCAAACGGCTCCCAAAACGTACCCAAACTGCCTCTAAGAGGCCCCACGAGATCCCAACGAACATCCAATAAGCTTCGTACACACAACCCAAACACCGTACCGGGATGGGCTTAAAACCATTAGATAGTGGATGAGAAGCCGGAGGGATGATGAGAAGGTGGACGAGGGCAAGCTAGGTACGCTCGGGTCAGATCTGACGTCCCACCTTCCCTCCCATCCTTTACCATGACGTAGCTATCCTCTCTATTCGCACAGTTATATGTCGACCTGGGCAATGGTCGCGAGAGGGTACGCCATGCATGGTAGAGCACGGCATGGCATGGCGTAGAAGAGCACGGCAGAGCGCAGCAAGCCCAAACATGGCGTGGCATTGCGCAGTGAAGCATTGCATCACAAAGCATTGCAATGCAAAGCATGGCATCGCACAGCGGCGCAGACACCGCACAGCATGTCATGGCATGGCGCCGGTTCCTTGGAGGGGAAGTGGATCGTCTTCGAGAGGTTTGGGCTGGTCTGGAGTCGTGGCTCTATGTCTAGCTCCTTGGGCTCCCCGAAAAGGCTCATACAAGGCGGGGCTGACGTAGAGCACCCGCTGGCACTGCTTCCAACCAACAACGCCTTCTCAAAACAGAAACGGTGCTCCCGCTTGATACGTCCTGAGAGCGACGACGCCCCAAAGTGTGTGGGGGGGGGCTTTTGCGGCCCAAAAAATATACGAATCGACACCGAATGTGTAATCACTTCCGATCGTTTTCTCGGGGGGGCATTCTCTAGATTTCGGGGCCTGTCTGGAAGGACCGAAAATGCCCGCACTGCAGCGGGATCACGCTTTGAAACAACCAGAGGCGCAGAAATGGGGCCAGCGCTTCAACGGGAGCAACATTATGAAACAAACCCAAGCGAAAACCCATTGAATCCGATGTAAAGAAACAATGCGCGGAAGGGGGGCCCAATATCTTCCGGACGTCATCAGGGGAGAGGAGAGTAGTATTCATAATTGTGTAATTGCAGAGGGAGGATGAGGAGAAGGAAAAGGAGGAGGAGGAGGAGGAGGAGGAGGAGGAGGGAGGAGGAGGAGAAGGAGGTGAAGGAGGAGGAGGAGGAGGAGGGAGGAGGCGGAGAAGGAGGAGGTCAACGAGGGGGGAGCGGGGAGGAGGAGGATGAAGTAGGGAGGAGCAGAGAGGAGGGGGGGAGGCGGAGGGACAATCCCGACGCATGTCGCCTCTCTGGGGCCTCCCTGGGTTTCTGCTCCTGGGCCCCCGCCCTCCTGGGCCACCCCGGGGCTGCCCGACCAACCGCGGAGGCTGGCAGAAGCACAGTTCGTTGTAGCCGCCGTCCCGGTACTGGAAGTAGCATTGGGAGCCCTCGCCCGCGTTGCTGGCGGCCTCTCTCGCAAGGAGGAGGACGACGATAGGAAGGAGAGCAGGACGGGGAGGAGGAGCAGGAGGAGGAGGAGGAGGAGGAGGAGGCGGAGGAGGACAAGGTTAGTGAGCAGCAGATTGCGTAACGAGGACGGAAGAGGAGGAGGAGTAGGAGAAGGAGGAGGAGGAGGCCAGCCTAGGGCGGGAAGAAAGGCCAAGGCTGCCCTGCTGCGGGAAGTCCCCCCCCCCTGGAGTGCGGTCGGGGGTCGGCTCAGTCCGCGGGGGGCAGGGGGAAGGAGGGGGGAGGAAGAGGGAGGAAGGAAGAAGAGAGGAGAGAGGGAGGAGGGGGAGGAGGAGGGAAGGCGGGGCAGGAAGGGAAAGGACGAGAAGGAAGGATGCCCAGACGAAGGAGGAAAGGAGGAATGAACGAGGACGGGGAGGGAAGACGGGAGGACGGGACAGGCATATGCACATGGCCCAATGTGCCACAGGACCGATCCCAGTAGGGCCGCATGTCAGCCGGCCTGGCCCGACTCCACAAAAAAAGTGCTCTCGCATTACCGTGGCTGGCACCGAAAGAAGGAGGAGGAAGAGGAGGAGACGGAGGAGGTGGACAAGCAGCAACAGGTGCTTGTGACAGCAGTCCCTCTCCGCCACCTTTGCATCTTCCTCCTGCTCATGCTCCTCGTCCTCCTGCTCCACCGCCACCTTCTCATTCTCCGTTTCCTCGTCGTCACACTGTCATGCTACTCCACTTCCTCCTCTTCCTTCTCCTACGCTTCTTCCTCCTCCTCCTCCTCCTCCTCCTCCTCCTCATCTGCCTTCACCCTTCTCCCCAAACCCTCGTGTTCCTACTCCTGCTGTTCCTCCGCGTCCCCCTCTTCTCTTCCTCAATGTCGTCACCACCATTAAAAGCATTCGTCCACCTCCTAGTCATCCTGCTCATTCGTCCTCCCTCCTCCTGCTCCTGCTCCTCCTCCAGCTTCTCATGAGTATCATCCTCCTGCGTTCCCCTTCGACTTCCTTCTCCTCAGACTCCTCCTCGCCAGCTTCCTCGCACTCCTGTCTCCTCCTGCATCATCCTCCATTCGCCTTCTTCGTAGATAATCACAAATTGCCCTGCCGCAGCAGCAGACGTGTCCCAACGGCGGGCCAAGCAACTCACCTGAAGCTTCCCCAGCATCTGCGATGTTTGAACTTGGAACTTCCAACAACTACACGGGTGGAGGGCCTCACCTCTTCAAATGTTAACTCTCGCCTTAGCGCCGCGCAGACTCGCCGGCAACACACCCAACGGTTACACTGATGAAGGGCGATACCTTTTCAAACTTGGACTCTCGCCTTGGCGCCGCGCGCACTCGTCTGGTAAACCCCAACAACTACACGGACGGATGGAGGGAGCTTCCTTCACAACGGTAGGGTATCGCCTTGGCGCTGCGCACGGACGTCGCACACATCCAGGCAATTACAAGGATGGAAGGCTCCTGCTTCAGACCTCCTCCTGTGCGAACGCTGCACGGATGGAGGGCGGCTCCTCTTCGACGCGGGGCTGTTGCTTGAAGCCTCCTCACGCTTGTGTGGCTGGAGGCCCCGAGCCGTGCACCGGCTACGCGGTGGACGCCTGTCCCTTTTCGTCACAGGGCCCTCGCTTGAGCCCGGACCGACCTTTGCAAACGTGCAACGATTGCACGGACGGATGAAAAACCCTTTTCGCACAAGGCCACCGCCGGACATGTCCTCTGATTTTTGGATCGTGTAGAAGGGGCCCTGGGCCACACACATCAATAGACACAAATCCCAAGATTCCCTGTATTTTCCAATCTGTCCTGGGTTTTCGTCTTCCCCCACCACCGCATCCAATATTTTCCTATATTTCCCTGGGGTTCGACGATTTCTTGTGTCTGTGTGCTTTTCCCCTCCAGGTCGTGTCGAAACGGGCGGAAATGGATCCTCACCTAAACGGGATCTCGCCTGCATGGCATGCCGACTGGGCGTCCGCTTTCCAGGGGGGGGGGGGGCGCTTGCAGCAGTGAAGCAACAACGACAATGAGGAAAGGACTTGGGACGCGGGGGGGCACAGCAGCACCGTACGCATGCCGGGCTTACCCTGGTCCTCCTCCGCTTCACGATCCCCCTGCTCCAGCTGGCCCTGCCGCTCCTGCTGCTCCCGCTGATTGCCCTTGCTGCTGCTACTGGTCCTCGTCCCCCCTACCCCCTTCCACCCCAATCCGCCCCGTTACCCCCCCCCCCCTTCCCCGTCCTCCTCCCGCTCCTCTCGCTTCTCCCCACTCCCCCCTCTGCCCCCTCCTGCTCCCCATTCTCCCCCCTCCTCCTCCTCATTTTCCTCGTCATCTGCCTTCTCATCCTACTTATCCTCATTATCCGTCTCCTCCTCATCATTCCTCGCGCCATGCATCCCCATCCTTTCCGCCATTCCTCTCTTCCTTCTCCTCCTGCTGCTGCTTCGCGTGCGGCGGAGGAGCAAGCAATGGCCAAAGGGGGGCCCAATGAAGCACGCGGCATTTTGGTGGTGTGACGGGCCGAAGGTTTTCTGGGTTGCATTTCTTCGCGAAGGCCTCTCCCGCTTTGAGAAATAGTCGATACCCCGATTGGAAGGGCGATTCCTGGTCGATCGGGGCATAACCCGGTTGACCGGGGCACACCCCTCTAGAATGTAAGCTTCGGAAGACCTGCCAAAATTGATTTCGATTGAAAGCCATGCTTAGAACGTCTGGAATGCCAATGGTGTGCCTTTAAAGGGTCCGCATGGTTCCCTGAGGAAAACAGCCGAGGGATAGCCCATCTGCAGCAATAACTAATCTTCTGAGCGGGCGGCTTTATATCGTACTCCTATATCTGTGTACACACGGATGCTATGTGACTCGTGGACGAATCCGATGTGAACCGTATACGTTTGCAATGTGAATCCTATACAAACCCATGTGGCTCGTATCCAATTCCACGCGTATCGTGTGCGATTCCTGTGTGCAGAGCGTGCGACTCCGATGTCAATCGCATACAACTCCGATGTGGGCCGGAGACGAACCCTGTGTGAATCGCAAAAGACCCTTATGTGAATCGCGAGCGGTTCTACATGCATCGCAAGCGAATCCTATGTCAATCGTATACGCACGATTCCTGCGTGAACCGTAGACGCCTATGTGGCCCGTCTACGGATCCTATGTGAATCGCGTGCTGTTCTTGTGTTAATCGCACACGACTCCTATGTGAATCGTGAACGGCTCCTTTGTCAATCCTACACGGCTCCGATGTGAATCGTATACGGAATCGTAGCCGACTCCTATGTGACATGTATTTGAATCGTACGCGGTTCCCATTTGAACTGTGCACGTTTCCAGTGTGAATCCCACCAGTCCTCTGGGCGTGGGTGGTCTAAATATGTTGTTTTTTCCTCTTCCAAACAACCCCTCTTCCCCTTTTGGGAAGGGCTTATCACTGTTCCCTATGAATACACACCCCCTCCCCCAGGCGACTGGTAGCCAACCCAGAACCATGAGGGCCCCCCCACCACCATCCCTTGTAAACAAGCCATGCAAAGCACATTCTGCCTCCAAATCCGGAGCATGCACAGCCAACCCGATGCGGCCTCCACCCACCATCCCTGTCAACAACAACAACAACAACAACAACAACAACAACAACAACAACAACAACAACAACAACAATTACTAGCACGTGGGGACACACCGTTCTCACCAGTGCCAGGGTTTTCATAGGAGGCGGGCAATACCCCCACTTTGTGGGGGGGCCGGTTCAAGCTCTACCAAATTTCCAAACGACTCTTCGCCACCACCCACACCCAGCTTCCCGCCCTATGACGTTCGGACACTTCACTTCGTGGCATGCGGACGACCGTGGCTACTATTCAGGGCCCCGCGGCCGACGACGACGGCGTGCGCGCGCGAAGAAAAAACGAATGTGTCCCGCATGGTATTATTTGACAGGGATGATGGCCCTGGCAGGTGCGCAACCGTTGTTGCAGAAGTTCGAAAAAGTTGCTCGCAAAAGCCCGTTTGACAGAAATGATTAAAAAGTGTTGGGTTTCCTACGAATCCGCAAGAGCGCGCGGGATGAAATTTTGACATTTTTTTTTGAAAAACCATTGGTTTTTTGATGTTTTTATGTTAAAATCGCTACGAAAACTAAGGTTTTGGAAGGATTTCGTCTTGCGCGCGCGAATGTCCACTTTACCTTATTTTTTGCAAGGGATTCTTGAAGTTTGGTTATGTTAGAACAAGAAATGTCCACTTTAGCTTATTTTTTGCAAGGGAAAACCGATCGTAACAACACAACCGGATCCGGACTCCCGTTTTGCCTGAGACTTCCTCACGAAAATGATGAAAATGAGGCTGCGGCCTAGGCGCGGCGGGGGGGTCGTGCACCAGGGGTCCCAACAATAATTATTCTTTAGAAGTAATAATGTTCAACAACAACAACAACAACAACAACAATCATTTTACCCGAACGCTCAGTGTTCTCCCCAGTGCCAGGGTTTTCTTGCGACACCAGCCAATACCCCCACTTCGTGGGGGGGCCGTTCAAGCTCTACCAAATATCCAAACGACTCTTCGAGACCACCCACACCCAGCTTCCCGCCCTATGACGTTGGGACACTTCACTTCGTGGCGTGCGGACGACCCTGGCTACTACACTGGCGTGGGGTACACACCCACAGAGGTTGATCACATCTGTTACATATGATGTGGTACACGGTACACGTGAGATGGTACGCAGTGCCAAGATAGTTGGTCACATTTTTGGGGCAAATTCGTGGGGATGCGATTACAGAAGTACATGTGTTACACTGATGTTATACAGTCCCAAGGATGACGCATGCATTGCTCATAGACTCATGGCGCTATGATCCTAACTCTCAGTGCCCAACGCGCGCGTGCACAGCCAGACGGAGGGAGAGAAACACATGTATACAAGGTTCGTGACATACGCACGGTCCACCATGTTGTAAACGATCGCATGCACGGTAAGTTCTGAAATTATACGCA